TATACTTAGTTAAGTGCTAGATCTAGACTAGACGGTAGACCTAGCCTAGCCTAGATCTAGGCTCTGCTTAGCCTTAGCCCGAATTTTTCTGTCTCTTTCGTTCGTTAGCCTCCGATTTGGGTAGGGTCGGCTAAAGAGAGGAGCCGACCCTACCCAAATCAGAGGCTAACGAACGAAAGAGACAGAAAAATTCAGGCTAGACTAGGCTATGACTTTTTATGTATACTAGGCTTTACAGTAACACACTGTAAAGTTATAGCCACGCCAGCTCAGGAAACGCAGTCGCTTCTTGGTGGAGTGTTACAGCCGGCTAGCACCGGCGAATTGAAAATCATAAACCGCTCGACGAGATCTCGTCGGCTTGGACTAGCAATGAGCCATTTGCGCAGTCAACAACAGGTCCACATCTACGACCGATTACTATCGGTAATCAAGCTATGAACTGAACTTAAAACTAGAAATTTAATTCGTCATGGGGACGAATTAGGTGGTCTGTCTTCAAGTCTTATGATAGATTATAATATTTACTATATTGAGAAAGGGAGAAGTTATATAGACATGTAAACAATGATGATCATCATGATGATCATGATGATGATGATCTTGATAGTAATGGTGATGATGATGATGATCATCATCATGATGATGTTGATGAGTATCATCAACAGACTACGATGACAGACTGAAAAAAATGAGAGAACATTTAGATAGTATTTAGTCTCAGCTTTAACATACTCAAAAATCAACAAAAATCAAGCCGAAATAACGGCGATATTGCTCGCAAAAGACAAGAATGTAGAATCCAGATTTGAGAAAAAGTCATCTTCCTTAAGGATTACACATTCAAAAAGTAATGGATCTAGTGATAATAGGGTAATGATAAAGTAAATATGGTTGTTTATTACATTATTTGCGATTCTACGTGTTTTAATATTTAAAGGAGATGGTACAGTGAAAGGTCAAAAAGAAAAAAAGTGAAGAAAAAAAATTGTTGGAGACGCCCGGACTCGAACCAGGGACCTCGAGGTCGGAAGTCAAGTGCGTTACCGATATACCAAAACATTTCCCATAGAGATTACACGTAAACGGAAAATGGAATTATCAAATCCCACTTTGTAAGTGAAATATGAGCATGATCCCGGCATCTGATCGAAAAATAAAGGGCACACTTGTGATAGCTTATTGTCTCAGCTACAACATACTCAAAGCTCAGCGTAAACAAAGATAAAACGACGGAGATATTGCTCGCGAAAGACGAGAATGTAGAATCCAGTTTTGAGAAAAAGTCATGTCCCATAGAGAATACACGCAAAATGTGAAAAATTGACATCCCTCCTTTAATCGCAAAAATACGCCATGATATTGTTGTCAAAATGAATTATTGTGTTAACTGCATTTGTAGAGAATATTCTAAGGTAGAACATATCAAAATTTGAAAGAAAAGTGATTAATATTTACAGAGATACAATCAATTTTCCAAAAATCTGCTGACGTCATAATATGCAAATTGATATTTTGAGTTCGGAGGCCATTATGATGACGTCATGAGTTAATTGAGGGTCAAATGAGACATGAAATCATATCTCCAACTCATGGTTTTTCCAACCATGATATAAAAATTGGGGTCAATTGACTATCTGAAGAGCTATTTTGATTTTTAAAATGGGATGTTTTTGATCAAATTTGCATTATATTGCCCATAGCAGCACGCGCGGATTTTGAACTTTGACGCGCGCTCACGGCCTTATGAAAGGTCAAGAGTGACTGAAATTAATGTAAATTGTCATTTACGGTAAGAGGAATCTAAATCATGTAAACAATTTGAATTTGACCTTTTCCGCGCGTTATGAGCGCGCGTAACGCGCGCGGTGACACTTACGGACGGAAAATTTTGAAATGCTTAAAATGACCTGATTCGTACTCTCCTTTAATAGTTAAGTGATTTTGAGCATATTAAAATTTTGACGCGCGCGTACGTGCGCGTCATGACCTTTATGTGACCTTTGATGACATGACTTGTTGATCCTTGACCTGAAGTATATGTGATATGAATATGAATGACCTTTGCTTATGCATCATGAAGATATGATGGATAACGTGATTTCACAAAATGGCGCCTGGATGACGTCACGATGACCTGATGACCTTGAAAAGGTTACTGTCACGTCTCATGACAATGACCTATGACTGTGTCAAAATTGAAAGAAATTAACACAACCGATCTTGAGTTAACCGATGAACAAAAAACGGGGAGAAATAAAAATAAACTAGAATTTAATTCGTCACGAAGACGAATAAGGTGGTCTGTCTTCAAGTCTTATGATAGATTAAAATAGTTACTGTATTGAGAAAGGGAGAAGTTATAAAGACATGTAAACAATGATCATCATGATGATGATGATCTTGATAGTAATGGTGATGACGATAATGATGATGATGATGATCATGATGATGTTGATGATTATCATCAACAGACCATGATGACATCAGACTGAACAAAATGAGAGAACATTTAGATAGTATATAGTCTCAGCTACAACATACTCAAAAATCAACAAAAATCAAGCTGAAATAACGGCGATATTGCTCGCAAAAGACAAGAATGTAGAATCCAGATTTGAGAAAAAGTCATCTCCCATAAGGATTACACGCAAAAAGTAATGGATCAAGTGATGATAGGGTAATAATAAAGTAAATATGGTTGTTTATTACATTATTTGCGATTGTACGTGTTTTAATATTCAAAGGAGATGGTAGAGTGAAAGGTCAAAAAGAAAAAAAGTGAAGAAAAAAAATTGTTGGAGACGCCCGGACTCGAACCAGGGACCTTGAGGTCTGAAGTCAAGTGCGTAATACCGATATACCAAAACATTTACCATAGAGATTACACGTAAACGGAAAATGGAATTATCAAATCCCACTTTGTAAGTGAAATATGAGCATGATCCCGGCATCTGATCGAAAAATAAAGGGCACACTAGTGATAGCTTATTTTCTCAGCTACAACATACTCAAAGCTCAGCGTAAACAAAGATAAAACGACGGAGATATTGCTCGCGAAAGACGAGAATGTAGAATCCAGTTTTGAGAAAAAGTCATGTCCCATAGAGAATACACGCAAAATGTGAAAAAATGACATGCCTCCTTTAATCGCAAAAAAACGCCATGATACCTTTGTCAAAATGAAATTTTGTGGTGACTGATTTGTAGAGAATATTCTCAGGTAGAACATATCAAAATTCGAAAGAAAATTGATCAATATTTACAGAGATACAATCAATTTTCCAAAAATCTGCTGACGTCATAATATGCAAATTGAAATTTTGAGTTTGGAGGCCATTATGATGACGTCTTGAGTTAATTGAGGGTCAAATGACACATGAAATCATATCTCCAACTCATGCTTCTTCCAACCATGATATAAAAAATGGGATCAATTGATTATCTGAAGAGCTATTTTGATTTTTAAAATGTCATGTTTTTGATCAAATTTGCATTATATTGCCCATAGCAGCACGCGCGGATTTTGAACTTTGACGCGCGCTCACGGCCTTTTGAAAGGTCAAGGGTGACTGAAATTAATGTAAATTGTCATTTACGGTAAGAGGAATCTAAATCATGTAAACAATTTGAATTTGACCTTTTCCGCGCGTTATGAGCGCGCGCAACGCGCGCGGTGACACTTACGGACGGAAAATTTTGAAATGCTTAAAATGACCTGATTCGTACTCACCTTAAATAGTTAAGTGATTTTGAGCATTTTTAAATTTTGACGCGCGCGTACGTGCGCGTCATGACCTTTTTGTGACCTTTGATGACATGACTTGTTGACCCTTAACCTGAAGTATATGTGATATGAATATGAATGACCTTTGCTTATGCATCATGAAGATATGATGGATAACGTGATTTCACAAAATGGCGCCTGGATGACGTCATGATGACCTGATGACCTTGAAAAGGTTACTGTCACGTCTCATGACAATGACCTATGACTGTGTCAAAATTGAAAGAAATTGACACAACCGATCTTGAGTTAACCGATGAACAAAAAACGGGGAGAAATAAAAATAAATAATAAATAAATAAATAAATAAATAAATAAAGAAAGAAAATTCTGACGAAAACAGGTGATCTGTCGTTGACAGACCACCTAATAATAAATAAATAAATAAATAAATAAATAAAGAAAGAAAATTCTGACGAAAACAATAGGTGATCTGTCGTTGACAGACCACCTAATTATGAGATGTGCTCTAATGAAATAACCTACGGTAAAATCCTGATTGTTTTAAAAAATATTACCGTCGATGACTTATATTAGAGTTCATTCAATCAGTTAATATTCTTTGGTCAGAAGAAAGAAAAGAGGATGGGGTAGGGGGTTAACCGGGTAATACGTTGTGACAATGCGGAGAGCCCCTCACTGCAATGACGAACACATCACAATCATTTCAGAGACCTTCACACAAAATGGATCTTTACTTAGAGTCTACTTTTCTTGATATCATAGGGTATCACTTCGATGTCAATGTTCGCCTGAAGATTTTCTGCTTCACTGAGATGTACTTGACAAACTTCTATTATAATAGAAATTCACTTAAAAGAAAAATGTTTCATTGTTCGTAATTGAATAACTTGAAAGTTGCAGTTCATACAACCGCCATTTTCGTGGTCAAATCGTAGGGAATTCTGGGAATGCAAGAAATGTTTTATGCATGTCCTAATACATAAAACATTTTGTCGATGGCCAATCAACAAACAGTAGTTGGCGTATTTTTTACGTCATTGCTCATGAATATTCATTGACCCTCCAAAACCGTCGTTCAAATCGGACAAAACCCCCATAATGCATCCAATGCAAAACCTATGGAATGTCAAAGGTCACGATTTTAGTTGGCCCTCTAGTCCTCCTACGGAGGACATACTGTGTATGATCCATAGAGATATATACTTAATAGTATATATCTCTATGGTATGATCGAATCTCTTTGAATTGTTACTAATAGAGCGCCCTCTACAGGTTATTTTACGAGAATGGCAGAATCTCTGAACTCAGGCGCTTCGAATACCGAGGTTTGTGATTCATTTTGTTCTGTTAGAAATAGTCTACTTGTAATAATTCGTTACCTTAATAGTATTTAAGAATTTAGTTGATGTTTACGGTATGAAATCATGTAGTGATGTTGCTTTGAAAGGTTAGTAATGCCTCTCTCAATATGGTCCTGGGTTTCTGTATGCCCCATCTATTGCAAGATATGTTGGCATTAACAAGTTATTTATGATTGATAATTCTGACACTTCAGAAACAGATCCAGCAAACCATAGTAGTCAATGCTTGTTTCGCAATTTAACCATTTATTTATGTCCATTCCTGCGCCAGTTCAGAAGTCGATCCACAGTCAGTAAGGACGCTGGTCTGAGAATAAGGATCGTCTTCATAAACGCGGACCGATATTCATCCTCAAAAATAAGGATCGCAGACGTTTCATATTTTTGATCGGCACATTGGCAATGCAAAAAATGGATTCCATGATGATTTTCTTGGTGCATTTTACACTGACTTTGTACAGAGACCTTCACATTATGAGCAATAAAATCCTTGGGAAGACGGACAACCCATGAAAGTAAATGGTGAACTAGGGTTATTTTCCCCCAGGGAATCCATTTTTGGCATTGCAAGTGTTTAATATTTTTTTTGGCTCCCGAAAATTTGAAAACCGCAGCCCCCCCCCCCCCCCCCCCCCCCCCTGGAGCACCAGGGGAGGGGGCCCGTCTCCAAAAAATGGTAAAATTAACTCTTTTTTTTCCCAGTCGCCCTGACTTTATTACACTAAACTAATTACATTTATCATTCTCCCCAAATATGTTAATGAATTATCATCTTCTCTTGAAATAGGAAACTGAAGATACTCAGGACTTTGATGGGCAGGAAGCTGATCAAGATATTCCAGTCGAGAGTGCTGATAAGAGAAAGAGATTCTTCAACAAAGAGTGTAAGACATCAATTCTTTACAATTGCATTTTGAATATGTTCATGTACCGTTTGGATGTTGTAATATTCCATTAAGATTTGGTTTATTTGAAGTTCGAAGTTTTATTCATTCCACATTTTACATAGAAAAAACAGTTTATATTCTTTCTTTTTTTGTACAGGCGTATATTAATATAAGAGTAGATTTCACACAAGAAAAAAAAACAGAAAAAAAAGAAAGAATTCAAATTAAATATAATGTACAGAAAATAAGTACGAAATTTCGAAATATGTATATATAACAGGCTAGGTAGAACAATGTAAAATGTGGGGAGCTTAAATAAAAGGCATAGCTTGTATGTGAATAGGCTCCTGTACTGAGTAACACAATATAGTAGGTCTGGATTTAAAAGGTATTATAGGAGGCGAAAACGAGGAGTAGTATAGCATGAGATTCTAGAGACGTACAAGGAGAGTGAATTTGAGAAGAAACGAAAAAAAGAAATAAAGAGTAAAGAGAATAATATAATAATGATAAGTAGAAGAAGGTGAAGAAGGAAAGAAAGAGGAAGACGAAAAAGAAGTGGAAGAAGAAGAATAAGAGAAAGCAAATTTGACGAAATCAATGGCATTGTAAAATAACAAAAACAAAGTCTGTATAACCACCTGTACGATCCAGCGCGACATTAACATTACTTTTATACATACTTACTCAAAAGAAAAACCTGAGCTTTCGTTTAAATGAATTAGTGGAGGGGCTTTCAACTAGTTTGTTATTCAGGCTGTTCCAGAATTTGGGTCCAGTAAAACTAAATGTTTGTTTTGTTAGCAAAAACGGTGCGAGTTCGAGTTAGATGAAAATGACTCAAAGTTCAAGGTTGTGTGATATAGATCTACTCACTTTTTTTGTCTTTTATGTCTTTTGTCTTTTCACTTTACAGTGAGATGTATGATGTATGGATTTGGAGATGATCAGAATCCGTATGCTGAGACCGTAGATCTACTCGAAGATTTGGTACTGGATTTCATTACAGATACAGTAAGTCTTTTTATGTATTATAAATAGACAATCTGAGTTTGCATACTGGTATTATGCATTTTCTAGTAGAGTAAATGCTAGATTTTATTACAGTTATATATTTAACACCATGATGTAGAAGTATTTAAACATTTGCATTGAAATGAAGATAATCTTTAAAGATATGCTCACGCCTCTTATGGCACATGAAAGTATGTGTGGTTTTTCTTTCCTCAAACACACATAAGGCCTATTGTAGTGACAGAATAATCTTATCTGCATCTGGTATATTTCATCAAGGCTTTGCAAAGTGAAAAAATAAATTTCCTTATAATTTACTTCAGTCTTTGAAACACAGAATGTAAGCTCATTATGAATGTTGAGATCTTTGAATCTACCTAACTCTTAACTGGAATTAAGGAGAAGAAATTAGAATATCAGTCTTGATTATTAAACAGTCACACACACTAATACCACAATCAAGCTATAGCATGTACATGTGTAACTTTACCTCCAATGACGATCAGGCAAATGAAAATGTTGGATACACTTTTTATTTCATGCAAAACAATGTTTCTCAAAATATAGAGTAATGTTAAGTAAGTCACATGTAAAATAAGTGAAGTAGCTGTAGGGGACAGGGGGGAGGCAAAATGAAAGTAAATGCAAAGGAAAAAACGAAAAAGACAAACGGAGGAAAAAAAGGAGAGGAGGAAGGAAGAAAGGAAGAAAAGGATCCCTTTCCCCGGCCTGATCCAGCAACTTGCAGCAAGTACTGGTGCCTATCAACCAGGGCACCCCACCAACTTTTTTGGAAGGGGGTCCAGATTCAAATTTGTGGCGCCCATGTGTCCCAGGTACCTATGACTGTCGAGCGCTGCTCCTAACCCCCTCCTGCCCTGACTGCTCTATGTCTGGCCCCGTGTTACACCCTGGTTAAAGTACTTGTAAATTAGATTCTTTTCTTTCTATTCTTTTTTTCGAAACAGACCCTTAAGGCCACCCACGTCGGCAGGCAAGGCAGAGTTCAGGTAGAGGATATCATCTTCCTGATCAGAAAGGACCCTCGCAAGTACTCCAGGATCAAGCAGCTTCTACTTATGAATGAGGAACTCAAGAAAGCAAGGAAGGCTTTTGACGAAGCCAATTACTAGCCCAGAGGCATTGTTTGTTAATCAGGGTCAGTAGGGGACATCGATGCTTCAAAGGAAATTCCACTACTTCAAGAGACTTGACATTGACAAAGTACATCAGTATCCATCGTTTGATTCTTGGTGAATTCACAGTATTCTGAATCAAGTGTAGAATTACTTAGTGAGTCATTAGGTTAGATTTCTGACAATTCAATATTTGTGAAATCGATGGATTTAAGCAATGCCAATAGTTTGATTGCTGTGTTCTTGTAGAAACGACAGGAAACCGTATCAAGGTTAGAACAACTTTGTGACTTCTTGTGTAAGGTTCTTGGTGAATTACTTCAGCACATCTGCAGGTCAGGGTCAACTCTGCTTAAGATGGTCAAATGTGGCAAAGGAGACATTGGTCACCAGCGAATGAACTTCCTGTACCAGGCGGCCCACTGCAGCCTGGCACAGAACCCTGGGAACACCCAGCTGGCCAGGTTCTACATAGAAACCATGAAGAACGTAGCGGCAAAGCTCGTGCTGCGACTCGCACCTCACATCAAGCGCACGATATGCAAAAAGTGCAGCGCCCTGTTGGTCCCAGGAGTTACAGCTACGGTCAGGGTCAAGGGTCGACGGCAGAAGCACGTCGTGGTCAGGTGTATGGACTGTAAGCAGGTGAAGAGGTTTAACACAGATGAAAAGCATGTCCTGTGGGTGCATAAACCAGAAGCTGTTCAATGAAAGAGCTGACAAACTTTGACTAGACAAAGTAGTGACTTGAGGACCTGTCTGCACTCGTTCAACAAGACTAAAGGCTCATTCAGACACGACGTAAACCACCGCAAAAAAAACGCCAGAATTTGTTTAACATGTAAATGAATGGCAACTGTGGCAACAAAGGTCCTGGGCATATTCACTAAGCTTTGTGTATTACATAAATGTACACTTCACATCATTGATAAAATTGTCTTAGTTTTGTCACTTTATATCTGACCGAGGCTTACCAACTCCCTTAGCCTGCGTACCTCAAATTTATAATGATTGAGATATTTGGAAGAAGTGGCAGAGAAATGTATGCCAAAGTCCATTTTCTTAATGTTTTTTCACAGTGTATTGTTCTGTATATTCAGTTTAGTTAATATCAGAGAGCTGTAATTTCCCCTCCCCCCCCCCCCCCCCCCAGCAAAACGATTGTTATAAAAACAAATTAAAATGTAATAATGATAATGAATAAAAGAAGAAAAAAAGGAGGTGTCACTTTTGATAGCAGAATAAGGGGAAGATAAAAAAAGGGCAAAAACAGAAAGGGTTGTTAATACCTTACTTTAGGAAAATATGTGGGTAAAGCACATTTGCCCCCCCCCCCCCCTGATAAAAAATAAATTAAAATTAAAAAAATTGAAAAAGAAAGAAATAGAGGACAGAAACAGAAAGGGGCATTAAAAGATAAAGGGTGGGAAGTCAATGTGAAAAGAAGGTAATATGCAACACCACCTCTCCCCCCCCCCCCTTAAAAAAATAAAAAATAATGAATTAAGAATAGCTTTTCATACTCTATGGATTTGTTTTTCTTTTTTTCTTCTCCATTTTATCTACCTAATATTGGTGGTGATTGTCCTTAACATTTTGTTAAGTACGGAGTACCCATTTTTTCTATGCATTTTTTCAAAAGCAAAATTCATATGTACATCATGTATGCATGGATGGTCAGAAATTGTCAGAATGAATTTACATATTCTATTTGATGTATTAAAATAAGATCTGGAATGTACATACTGTATATCAATGAAAAATAGTTGTGCATTGTCATGAATTTCTCCTCTCAAAGCACTGTATAACATCGTTTGGAGTCGGTTGGGTGTTAACTCGTGTCTTTTAACAGAGTTAACGCCCATTTGGTTCTGAACAGGTGATATGTAAATACACCGAATACTGCTTGATCTGAGAATACCCCTCTGCAACTGTTCATAAACTCTCTAAAGTTGTTATCATGTTATTTAGCAATACTAGGATTTTTGGAAGTGTAAAATTACTATATATTCATGAAGGTTGCATGGGGCTTTCCATTTTTCACACGTACAGCAAAAGCACTAGTTGTCAATAGTTACAAACATCTCTTTTTTGTTCATTTCCGAGCATACAGTGAAAACGGACTTATGAACAATTACACGTCACAAGAAATGAACATTATTTATAACAAAAATAGTTAGTGTATAGAGAGAGAGAGAGAGAGAGAGAGAGGGAGATACAGACGGACAGAGACCGAGAGATGAACAGACATGTGTCGAGAAAGAGTTGGACACAGAACATTTAGTAATGATACAAGAATGAGAAAGGGGGAAAATGGAAGAAAGAGAAAGTATTACATTTTGGATGCGATACAAGATCGAGATACGCTCTTACTTGTAAAGGTTATAGAATACTAATAATAAAAAATCAGATGAAAGGGGGGATTACACATGAAAAGGACTTGCTCCAGCATACATCAATGGACTCCTTTCACCAAAGGTGCAAACCTCCTCCATCAGGCTCCGCTCATCATCATCTGTTCATCTTCAACTATCACCTGGTCCTCGAACTCACACCCACTATGGAGATTGTGCCTTCTCTGTATGTGCTCCTAAACTCTGGAATAATCTCCCCGTCTCTGTCCGTGAATCCCCAACTCTTGACACTTTTAAACGTAGACTTAAGACCTATCTATTCAACACAAAGTAATAGCCCATCATCATACCGTATTTATAACCACATGTCCTATATTCTTGTAATTTATTTATTGTCTAATGTACATAATTATTGCAGTTTCATTAATGTTACTTAATTATTTTATTTACATTTTCATTTTTCATTATCATGTTATTGTTATACATTGTTAGTTAAGTAATTGGTCTAAATTAAGCGCATTGTTCATTTCACGTTTCTAGTTGATCCTTATTACATATTTAGTTTAACCGTACTTCTCATTTCACTTGTTTTGTAAAGCGCTTAGAAACTGTATTTGTATACCAGCGCTATATAAATCTTAAATATTATATTCTTTTTATATTATAAAAGATAACAAATATCTACCCAAAACTAATAGTGCACAAAGGGGAACTAAGGGTCTGCGCACATAATTTGGGGCCTGTCACCACGAAATGAGTCCAGTTGGTCAAAAATTTTATTCCTGTTTTTAAGTATTATATGAATCTACATTAAGTAAGCTTTAAATTAAGGGGTCACACATTGAAATTGATAAATTATATCCACAAATATGAACAAAAACCTAATTGGACTTTATAGCAATGGGATTACCCAGTTTTGAGATAATTAGGTGTAAAGTTAATGATGCGTAACATATTATAGTCTGGTCAACAACAACATAGCAACAACACACTTCCCATCATTCGATTTCAATGAAACTTTCAACAAACGAAGAAATAATAAGTCGATTTTTGGAAAAATCTTAAATGTGGTAGGTGGGTCAATTTTCAGTACATACACACTATACATCGCTATTACTACGATTGTGCCTAATGCGACACTGGACTCATTTCGTGGTGACTGGCCCCATTTGACTTGAAAGTGACAATGATTTTCTTTTATGTTCCTCTAATGCTTAATCCCATATCATTCTTTATATTTTGAAGTGTGCCAAAATGATAGTGAAAACGATGTCATGTTGAAATTGCAAAAGTACAGGTTCCCATGTATGCACACTCATTCATTTTCAAAGTTAAAGGTAAAGACCAGTATTGGAAACGCCCCAATTTCAAAAAATGAAATGGAAGCTCTCATTACCAATCATGTGAAAGAATATGTTTTGACTAATACATGATGATACAAAATTTGCCGGGAAACCGCCTACTAATTCATATATTTGGTAAATTTGTTTCTCTCATGGTCTGTGAGAGATATAGGGTAGTCCCATATACATCTTTCTGTGTATAGTGCTTGTAACTTTACGAAGAATGGGCCAAATTTCTTATCATTTTGATGATTCCAGAACCTTGCAGATGCTAGATGATCAACCTTTTCTGATTGATTCCACAACGTTTCTTTCACAATGCAATCGCATGACCATAACTGGTCTTTACCTTTAAGGATTTTTAAAGTGAAAGATAGCATTTTGGGACTTGTGAATGATATCACCAAAATCAGACATTTTACAATATATTTTACATGTTTATTGCATGAATACATATTGCTACAATAGACATATATTTGGTGTCATTTATCACTTGTTTTGATTTATCACGATCGCACAGCTCCATGTAAGCTCAGACGTAGGCACTCAAATTATACATGAACTACATTCATTTGCAGAGGTCTATTGAAAAGGAAAGCCAGTTCACACAAGATTCATTCTTTATAATAATATTTTATTAAGCAATTTACAACATGGATAAGTATAATATACATTTGTATATGAATTTTGATTGAATATTGGAAGATAGTTAGTTTCTTATAATAGACTATATAAATAATTATGTACATGGATCACTTCTCATATCGTGATAGTATGAGTAAGATTAAACTTCAGTATAGCTTATTCAAAGATTCATTTGGTAAAGATTAGCTACCGATTCCTTTTTGCTTTTGGTAAAGTGTCAACAAATATTCCTAAAATGTGTACAAGTTAAAAATACAAACGCACTTTCTTTCTGCTTTGGTAGATAATAAATACTGTACATAAATACATTCTGTAAAAAAAGCAATCTGGAAGTTGATTAGAATCTATCACACAAATGCTATTTGGTGGGTGAGAAATGGACGGTTTTGCTTACCAGTAAACTACACATACTTGTGCTTTCCTAATGTTTGAAGTGCCCCTAATTCAATTCAATAAAAGTTGCATGCACTGTACACCGAAATGAGTATATGGGACTACACACACATGTGCAATGAAAGTAGAAAGATAGCATAGTAATGACCAATAAAAAATACTAGCATGAAAGTTTAATTGTCTGTATATTTTAGTGAAGCATGTTTGAGAGTTATCAAGACTTTTAATCTCAATATGAATTCTTCACCTCATAAATTTTCAGGTCTTTAAGCTACAGTCTTTGTCCGTGATGACGCCCAACTTGACCTTTCTAATATAATGGGCATGATAACCAAGAATAGATACATGTAGTTGAAGATTGAGCTACTCATCTCAACATGAGTGCATACACCTGTCACCTGTCACCTGTCGTAAGTTGAAACATGAGTTCGGTTGGAAATAGATTTGGATGCGATTTCAAGTATTGATCATATTACAGTGCATGGCGCAATATGGCTCAGTAGTGGTCCCTGGTTCGAAACCAAGGTGATGCGCTGGTGTCCATTGGTAAGGCATTAACCCTCGGAGAAGAATTTAAAGCCATCGGTCCCCTGGTTGCTTACTTAATACAAGCATAGACATGCCTTTTTAGCAGTCAATAAAACAATCATCAATCATCATCATCATCAGTATCATATACATTGCTGATCCAATAACCGATCCACTGCGGTTTAATAAACAACGCAGAAGTACCTCCAGCCACTTCCCTAAGGATTGAAGCCTTTAACCACAACTCACAATTAAATTGAACCCTTCTGTGTCACCAAGTTTATGAAACACTTGCAATTGTATCTACACTGTACAGTGCCCTACTTCATTACTTAATTGGGCATAAAATAAAATCTTCTCTGATAATAAAATTCACGGTGTATTTCTGTTTGAGGAAGGAGAGCGTAACCATTCTTAGTTCCAGCACAATAGCTCAACACTCAATTCTTGATATCCTAGTCACACAATTGGCATTGTTTAACGAAACAGTCATAAGTATACAAGTTCACCGACATCCCATTGAAACGTGTGTGTGAAATCGATGGGTTGTTGGCAAACTTGTACTTATGATGGTTTCATGAAACACTACCCAGGCCAACAACAGACCAAACAAAGTACTAAATTACCCCCAAATGACCAAGAATTGGCCAGTTTGGAGGCCAGATTTACTGCCCATAGATTTTCAATGTTCAATTCAGCTATCATCCATAAACCAAGAAAAAATGTTCCTTGTATACAAACACCACACTGGCCATAGTAGGATCCATATTTACTGGCAAGCTCCTAGTATACTCCTGGAAATGTCATGGCACCTATAGTGTTGATACTCTTCCAAATGGCTCTGAAAAATGAAAAGAAAAAAAAATGATCAGAGATGAAATTTTTTTTTAAAACAAATTACTCCCACACCCATATTCTTGTGTTTCGAAATGCTAAATACTGGTACAGATTCTATTTTTCATTTCATTAATTATTTGCAGAAATTATTTGCAATATTCCTAGAATTTACAAATCATTCTTTGGTCCTTTTAGACCATCTACTCAGATGCTGCAAGGCCAGGGGTCTGTTGCACAAAACAGTTGCTTTATCCCATAATTATAAACAAAACACAATTATGAAGACATGAGCATGTGTCCCTTCCCAATATCATTTCGGTTTTGTGAGAGGAACCTGCAATATAAGATGTCAATTCTCAAAAGAATAATCTAACAGTGCCCATAAGCCAGCAGCATAACAGAATGGTGCTGATGTAACAAGTTGTCAATATATAACCAGGTAAATTCCTTGGTTCCAAGAAATTTGTTATAAAAAGGTCAGATATACTTTCAAAATACCAGTTCCAGATAAAACCCTCCTGCTTCAGTGCTACTTCACAATGTTATTGACCTACCTGATATCTGTATCGGGTGCATCATACCTCTCGAGAAGTTTGTCCACATCCACACTCAGACCCTGGAAACGAACCAAAACAAATAATTATTGATAAATGAGAATAAATCTTGAACAAATCGTATGCAAAGTACACAAACTTACACACAAAATTGTAATTACAGGAGATCTTTTCAGATCAGATATCAATCAAATATTATTTTATCATAGTAATTGTTATGCACTTTATTCATTGTGCTTTTTTTTTTAATCACAGCCCTTATTTTTCTTTAGTGTGCTTGTTTACCAAAGCTCATTTTTTTTCTCCCTTATTGGGCTTTTTTTTTCCAAAGCTAAACGGCTCACAGCTCCAGGGATATTTTTACATCACCACTCAAAGGGCACAACTCAAAATCCAACCAGTATTCACAGAGAAGGAGAGAGAGAGAGAGCATGCTTGTTTTGATCATTCAAGACTCAAGTCAACAGTTTATACTCAGAGGGGTCAAATCCCTCTCAGCTTTAAAGCCCCACTGCACTACTTATGGCTACTTGCGCCCTCTATATAGCTAACAATGTCTAATCGGTGCCTGTTGGTCCCCCATGATGAGATAACCACCTGTCAGATAATCCCCCTGGCCAAACTAGTACCGACAGGCTTAAGAAGAAACTTTTACCTGTATTGTCTTCGCCAAGTACTCATTAGTGGAGAGGAGTTTGAGCACCTCTGCCTCCGTATCCCTCAGACAGCCTTCCATATGGTCACAGATAGACCGAGGCACATGGTGCTCGTGAAGGTCCTCTGTCAGGGCTTCTATCTCACCCTGCAGGTCTAGGATCTTATTATGGTGTTCCAGAACCTGGTCCCCCTGGCCCAGGACTATCTCCTCTTCCTTGGCCTTGACCCTCGCGGCGATGGGGTCGGGGAGGCCGATGAGAGGCGGAAGCTTGGCAACCCCATGTTCTTCTTTGCGCAGTGTCTCTCGTAACCTGTGCAGCATGAGTTCATGAAAAGGCATTGTCAGAAGAAGAAAAAAAATCGAAATCAAAAGATCGTTTAAAACATAAACACATTACCATAATCAGAACAAAGAATAAAAAAGTTTAAAGATGCTTAGTTTGTACACTGTTTGACAAGGGGGTCAGATATACCAATTCAGCCTGTGACGAAATACTTATTAGTCTATCAAGGAGACCAGGACCTTATCTTATAAAGAGTTGCGATAGATCCAAATCAATCCCAAGTCCTACAATCAATAGCAAGTTAGAAGTCACCTGTCTCTTATGTATAGTTGCAATTATATCAATCACAAATAAGTTGCAATCAATATCAACTCTTTGTACGATGGACTTCATTATTCCTAGAGTTTATGAATCGTGTACACTCCATAAGGAGTCAATAGTCAAACAAAATAAGAGTTCTTGCTTACCTGTCATTTTCTTCAAGCAGATTCTTAGTCTCCTGTTCCATTTTCTTGACCACGTCCTGACCAATAGCCAGTTCTCCAGGCAGGACCACACCACTAGCAGTCAGTCCCCTGACCTGCTGGCTCAGGATCTCACCATGCTTGTGAGGCTGTGTGTCCAGTAGTAACCCCATGTAAAGGTCAAACTCACCCTATAAATCAAAAGTGACAGGTAAAAATTTGTGAGAAGTTTCTAAATTGACCCTAACGCAAATACCATGTCTGCCTGTAGATGGCGACCTTCCTCCTTTACTGCGCAGTTCGGCACATGTGCAGATACTATACTGGGGAAGACGCCAAGACAAGCTTTCATCCGTTTTTTTGGCTTCCGTAGAGAATGTACAGCGGTTTCAACTAATTCCTTATTAAACTAAACCATTGTTCAGGTTTCATGAACTCCCCCCAATGATTTAATGAGATCTGTAGGCACCATCATAATGGGTTCTAGTTTATTGGTTCCGAAACTATAATTTCTATCTGAAGTTCAGTCCTGTTCGTAGTCCATAGTCGTATTATACCCGATTGGCCCCGACTCAGGCCACGGGAAAGACACTTAGTCTCGTCAGGCTACACTCCCTTTAATCTATTGAGGATCTCACCTTGACTTCCAGCAGGACCTTGGCAAAGGTTGGGGTTTCTTCGATGAGTTCATCCCAGATATCACTGTAGATCTGCAACCGGTGAAAGTTTGGCGCACTGAATCTAGCCTCCACATTCAGCTCCTGAAGTTTCTACAAATTGGATATTCAATGAAATAAAAGGTTTAAAAATAGTGTCGCTCGTTTGCAGGAGACACCTAAATAGCAGAGAATTATTTTAACATCAACAAGATTTTAGTGTCTTTCGCATGGCTTATACACTTACTTGGGAAGTACTGAAGTCTGAAATAACATTAAAATTTCATATGCAACCCACCAAATATCACTGTAGACATACTTGCACTAGGTAGTCTGTGGGAATGTGTGTATTAAATACATCAAAATCAATTGGTAGCCAATGTGAAGGGAGCGATAGCACCAGGCATTTGTTTTTTGTGGGACATCTTGATATCTTACTCACTTAAGACTACTATTGTTTTTGTTTCATGAGTACATGTACAGTATATAGTGCATATTATCCCAGGAATTTCCAAAAGGAATCAACATTCTCGCCCATGTATATTGCCTCAGAGACATTACATTTCATCTGAACAATGTAGCAATAAAAGAAAACTATCATTGCTACCAATTTGAAGAACAGTATGGGATCAATTTAGCTCTAAAAAGAAATCCTGTCCTGAAATGGAAAAAAATGTAAGTCCCTATTGATGTTTCTGAACTCTGTCTGCTGTTCCCTACCTCATATAATTTCCTTTCCAAATGTGCCACTGCTTTCCTCCCTGTTAAGACCCCTTTCTCATACATCTCCTCTTTCCTCAGTACGTTCTTCTGAAAGTCCAGAAACCTATTGAGCTGGTCTCTTTTCGTAATCCCAGCCAGGTGGCTTTGCACAAATTGTTGCTTGTGCAAGTCCCTCCCTCCAGCACTCCTGTCCTCCCTCTTATCAAATGGAGGCAACCGGTGGGGGGGAGACTGGGTCCGTGAGATCCCCCGAGTTGTTTTCTGACGAGAAACAGGGAGCATGATTTCGGGCAGGGACAGCTCTTCAACGCAAACGCCATCGTCAATGTACGAAGCTGGGGAATCCATCCGAGCATCCAAATTAGACGCTCTCTGGGGTTGGGCTCTGCTACCATGGTGACTACCTGCGGATGCTTTGGTAGTTCTCTGGTCCGTCCTTAGGTCTGCTGGGGTAGGGTGAGGCAAACTCCCAGCTGTACCTGTGCTGAAGTGATACAAGGCCTGCACCATTTCTTCTTCTTTACTCTGAAAGTGGAGGAAAGCAAAAAGGCCTTTAAAATTATTAGGTTTACAAGACTAGATTACATTGTAGCATATTGCCTATAACAAAAATTAATAGTATTGGTATTGAAGCTTTATGTCTTGCACTACTCAAAGTCTCAAACTGTGTGTCTCTCTCTCTCTATTCAGTGATATTCTTTGATTTTCTTTTTTTTTAAGTATCTATAATTATCTTCTCTTTAGTTAAATGGAAATAAGCCATATGACATAAAGGACTAAGACATGTCTCATTTGACAAATATTCTTTGTTTTCCCACTGACAAATGACAAGTCACTCTATTGAGACCATCGATCAATAATATAATGATCGGGGGATGGGTGTGCAGACACATGACTAACATAAAGACTTATCTTTTGCATTCGGATTTAACAGAAAATATTCATCAAATAGCACTAACCATCATGAATTTTTGTCCTTTATAATATTGTCCAGCATAAGTCTTAGAAGATATATGAAATATTTATGTAAACTTCTTTGAATGGCTATTTTAAATTAAATGTAAGGATAATACACAACCTGTCCGGAAACACAACATCTGGGTATACGTTATGATGGGCACAAACAAGACTTCCATGTATTGCAGCTATAATGGTTATAAATAAGGCTTTACTATGTCAAAATGTCATATTTCAATCTAGTATGGAATCACACTTTTTGCTGTTTCTTTGATCACATATTATGATAATTTCTTTACCTGTGCACGTCTCGGCGAGGGCAGCTTGCTTGGGGCAAGCAGCAGGGGTACCTCCTTGCCCGAACTCTCCCAAGGCTTGTGGGTTGCCATCTCAGGGGGCTTTGAGAGCCGGTTGTGATTCAAGTGACCCTTGGTCCTCAGTAAGATGTCATACTTCTGCTCCTGAAAGAGACCCTCCATGACATCCCGCAGGGGGCGAGAACTAACCCCTGGTGGAGGGAGGGGCCCGTCTGGACCCTTTTCTTCTGAAGCCATAGCCAATATGAAGACTACTGCGAGGTTATAGTAATGCCCTCTAGGTTTTTGAACAGTCCATAGAATGTGTTGGAGAAGTGTCTATAGAAGATAAACATACAGAAATTTAAGATGTACTGAACAATGAATTGGAGAAGGAAAAAAGTGCTAGGAGTGGGCGAACCACCAACATAAAAAAAAATGGGTCCTAACACTCAGAATATCATTAATCAATAAGACGCAAAAACAAAATTGGTTCTGACATACGAAGCTCATGGCAAGAACCCATTAAATTTTGATTGATGACTTTAAAAGATTTGTTTTTGTTTTATCCATTTTATCACCTTTATTTTTATCTTGTCATATGGTGAGAGACATGCAGACAGACCCCCCCCCCCCCCAGCCCCCCCCCCAAAAAAAAACAACAACACTGGATTAGATGACTTTTGGCATTTCAAAATAAAACAAACCCCAAAAGTGAATGGTGGTAATCACACCAAGCTGCCTCTGCCTACATCATACCTGTATCTTACTAACTTTCCTTTTTCTCATTCTTCTCCTTCTTTCTTCACTAGACTATCTCTCTTCAATTTTCTTCTATTTCTTCATTTTCCTCATACCAGTACTCCCCCTTCTCTTCTTTAATCTCCCATCCATCACTTTCTTCTCTTCCTCTCCTTCCTTTTCTCCTATTTTTATCCTCCTATTTTAATTCCTCTTGTACCATATTCAGAAATCCTGAATTTTCTGAATACCGATTACTGCACGATACTCCCCTCCTCTCCCCCTCCCCAACTCTCTCTCTCTCTCTCTCTCTATTGTTCTTCTCATCTTCTTCTTCTAGATCTAGACTAGAACTACATCTTCTTTCTTTCTTTTTTGTTGTCTTCTTCTTCTTCTTCTCATCCTCTCTTTTGTTTTCTACTTCTTTTTATCCTCCTTCTTAATTGCAATTCCTCTCTAAACCCGAGTCTTGTATTTAAAAATCCTGAATTTCCCTTATAGGGTTTACTGCTGTCACTGATTAAAGTACTCCCCTCCTCTGTCTCTCTCTGTCTCTCTCGCTTCTTCGTCTTTTTCTCTTCTTCTTCTTCTCCTTCTTCTTCTAGCTCCCCCTCCTCCTCCTTCTCCTTGAAATTCTTCTTCTTCCCCTTCTTCTTCCTCTTCCTCTTCCTCTTCCTCTTCCCCTTCCCCTTCCCCTTCCTCTTCCTCTAGCCTCTTCTGCTTGTGCTAGTGCTACAATTTTACAAATAAAAAAAAACAAATAAATGCACGCATGGGACTGGTTCGTATTACCAACTGGATATAGACTCTTTTGTGCAGCGTCACCCTGAGATCAAGAGCTTTGTCAATTACACTAAACTATGCAGAGATTAAAATAATATCAGAAAAATATTTTCAAATCTTTTCTTATCAAGAAAGTATTCATATTTACCGTGAAGCCTGCAACTGAAAAATGGTCAAAGAATTTCTTAATTTTGTTTACGCTGGCCAAGTTGCTATGCTAGTCAACTGTAGATGGCGCTCGTTAAATGTGAGTAATTTTTTTTGTTCACGTTCGTTCGAGATATACATGCTGGCGACGTCGACTGTCTTCATTTCAACATTTCACCTTGTTTTCTACATTTGTGTGTTTGCCTAAGTCGCCACATATTTGAAAATGTCCGCTGCGGATAGATCCGTCCGTTCTGTCTTTGGTAAGAAACTCCAGATATTAAGATTTGTAGAAAAACAAGCATGATTAGTTGATTATAGACGAGACCTAAGTAAGTTCTTCTCTCAAGTCAAGTCAAGTCAAGCGTTTACCCGCCACTGCACCGGTACTACATGGGGGTTCCGTTTCACTAGCACTGCAGCTCATGCAGTGCACTGTCTTGTCTGTTTGACCATAGACGTAATAGAAATGGACTTTTGACGGCAAGAGTAGTAAAAGTAATGATAGCTACCACCTGTTCTTATGTCTTACTTTCTTCTATGTTTTAAGTCTGACCGCAACGCTGCGGGCATGTTTTGATAAGCTCCGATAAGGGTCCTTTGGTCCTATGAGATCCACCGGGATTTTGCCGACCTCTATCGGCCAAGTCGCTTCGCACTGACCAATGCTTCCCACGATTTGCGCTTCTCATTTCATGAATGAATCGTGACAGGAGAGCCTTCTGCCCATGCGCAGCTAAATACTACGTCAATAGTGCCCCGGATGTAAACATGAGGTTTACGTCCTGTTCATGCTCGCCAATCTGTAAAAAAAGCCGTTGAAATCGGTGATTTCTTCGATTTTTTACGAATTTGTGTTGGTGTGTAGCAAACTCATCATATAAGCAAGGAAAGTCACCACAAGAGCTTACAAAATACAGTTTAAAAAGTGTTTTTTTTCTCCTGTTTCCGTTAATTTCTCTGTGAAACCAACGACGTTGTGGTGATCACAAATCCTTCGTTTGTCGAATACAATCATTCGTTATTTGTTGCGTTTGCGTGCGTTTTTTTTATAGGCATTGGAAGAATGGGGTTGTTTTCGTGAGTGCTCAGAAAATCTGTGGTAATGCGTGACTTCTTCGCATCATGACCACTAAATTGCCGTGCCTTTGTCTAATCCAAATTGCACACGTAGTCCCATTGATAGAGATCGGCGGGTGCATGTTTTTTTCAAGTTATATTTTGGACTTGTTAATCCGAGAGTGACTGCTTTTTTTTTTCTTCCCTCAGATTTTATCTTATTTCATCTTGATGTAGGCCTACTATATGTGTACGTTTTTTTTTTGAGAATCTAGGAATTAGGATAAATATCTGTGTCCGTAAATTTGGGAATTGACCATTGCAAAATATTCAACATTTCCGTCGTCTGCTATGTCGATATATGGACTGCCCATCATAATCATAAAGTTCTTCCTTATTTATGTCATCTAATGATAATCCTGCCCTTCTAATTACTTTATAAACAACACATGACTCATGAGTACGAGAAAAATATGTATTATGGAACAATACACACATCGAAATAAATAATAATTGTTAGTATAAATACAACGCTGAAAACAATAACAATAATATCGTCAGGCACAAAGACGAAAACATGTTCGCTACGACCGCATGGCGGAGAGCGCTCGTACTATTTAACACTAGGTTCTCAACGATTTGAAGGAGCAGCGAACAACCCCAAATCGCGAGCTTGCTGTTGCGATTATGAAAGATTGCGCAAGTGATCGCATCCAGCTGTCGGGTTGCGGTGGGACCACCGCTGGGTTTTTGCATCGGCGCGAAATTTAAACCTTGCCGGTGGAACTCATAGGATCAAAGAAACTGCTTCGTCGATAGTCCATTCTATTACGTCTATGGTTTGACTATGTGAGACTGTGAGACTGGGAGAATGTGTAGCCTAAGGCTTATTAAGGGCGAGGTTGTAATAAAAAAAAGTATTAATTATGATGATGGGCTGCCTGATCGATGCTGTGCTCAGGCACAAATCATGGTCATGGAGAGAGAGAGAGAAAGAAGAAAAAGAGGAGAGCTAGAGTCAGAGAAAGGCAAAGAGAAAGAAAGAAGAGGAAGAAGAAAATAAAGGGTAAAGAAGAAGATCAGGGGAAGGCGATAAGGCCCTCCCCCCATCAAAAAAATAAGAGAGAAGGAACGAAAATGAAATGAAGGGAGAAATCAGTTGAAATTTTCCTGCCATCAAGTTGTGGATCGGGGGGGGGGGGGAGGCCCTTGCTTCTCCCCCACCTGCCCTCGCCCCCAAAAAAGAGAAAGAAGACTAGAGAAGAGGAGAGCAAAAAGGGAACAAAAAGAGGAAGAAGAAAAGAAAAGATGGGGAGATCATTTGCGTTTAATCCAGTGAAACGAAGCATCAGGGGGGGGGGGGGGGGGGGGGGGGGGGGGGGGGGGGCGAAAGGCACTTGCTTCCCTCCCCGCAAACCTTAATGAGAGAGAAGGAAGGGATTGTGGGTAAGAGAAAGAGGAGAAAAAGGGGGAAATAGAGAAAGAAGAAACTAAGAAGGAAGGAAGGAAAGAGAAAGAAAAAAGGGAAGGAAAAAAAGAGGAAAACGAAAAAGAAATGAAGGGAGAAATCAGTTGAGATTTTCCTGCCATCAAGTTGTGGATCAGGCCCTTGCTTCTCCCCCACCCGCCCTCGCCCCAAAAAAAGAAAAGAAGACTAGAGAAGAGGAGAGCAAAAAGGGAGCAAAAAGGGAACAAAAAAGAGGAAGAAGAAAAAAAAGAAGGGGAGATCATTTGCGTTTAATCCAGTGAAACAAAGCATTGGGGGGGGGGGCGAAAGGCACTTGCTTCCCTCCCCGCAAACCTAAATGAGAGAGAAGGAAGGGATTGTGGGTAAGAGAAAGAGGAGAAAAAGGGGGAAAAAGAGAAAGAAGAAACCAAGGCCATAATGTAGGGGAGATCAGTTGCGAATTTCCCTGCCAACAAGGTGTAGATGGGGGGGGGGGGGGGGGGGTATTTCTAAATTGATACCGGTGATTTACCAATGTTGCTGAAATGACATAATTTTCCAAGATTTTTCCTCACATTTTAATAAATTATAATTTTGTATGCGTTTGTTGGAAAATGACAAATTCCTAATGTTACAGTCAGGAACGAAATATGCCATTAGAGGCCTACATTTAAGGCCTACATTTAAGGCCTAAACAAAAAAGATGTTTTATTGCCCTTTCCGACCGACCCAAAAGTCTTGAAATCTATTGACGACTTTTTAAAAGAGGTTTTGTTTTTTTAAACCTTTTTTTTTAGCATTCAAAAAGAAGATAAAATTATTTTTAAAAATAAAGATTTCTGACCGACGGACCGACCCATGTTTTGGCATCGAAAGGGCAATACAACCAGTGAAAAAAATACACGAGGGCTCCGGGCGAATTAGCCCCCGAAATGCCCAAAAGAGCCCCCGAAAAATCAGAAAAGAGCCCCCATGAATTTGCATAGAGTTCAATGCAAAACAAATTTTAGAATGTTATTTTCATGTAGGCAAGCTTGAAAAGTAGCCTGCGAAAAATAAATACTAATTTTTTCCCTGAATACAACACCTTTTTTTTGTAGGCCTAATGTGATTTACTTGCATAAATTTAATGAAGATCCGAGATCGAGATTAGAGTCGCTAACTTCACGCAGGCACGTGTGACAATGTGAAAATAAATGTGTTCACATACATTTGCAGCAAAACCAAGATTTCGCAATCTCGTCAGAGGTCAGCGTTTTTGTAAAGTAAGGAGTATGTTGTGTTATGAAAATAAAATATTATCAACATAATCATGTTATAGGTGCCTGGTGCCAAGGTGTACTGGCGACAATGCTGTGAGTTTGTGTGTTTAGAGTCGTAATTTAAACCTTTAGGCCTGAACAGAACACTCACACAAAAAAATGCTAAAATTTCAAATCTTAATCTGAGAGTCCTAAAATGCTGCTTAGTGTTTGGAACCATAATTATTGCCTTACGTCAATATGGACATGCTTAACAGGGGTGATAGTGAGCACTAAAAAAAAATAGGTTTTTTGTTTTTCCGTTAACCACGCCCCCCCCCCCCCCCCCCCCCTTGAGTAAAAAAAAATGAAGAGGATTCGCGGGGAAAAAATGGCATCTAACAACATTCCCCCCTTTCGAGTAAGAAAATTGGGGAAAAATAGGGCAAAATAGGGAAGAATAGAGAAAATAAGGGGGAATCGGAAAAATCAGGATAAAATAGGGAAGAAAAAAAAAATCAGGTAAAAAAAAAAAAAAAAAAATCTGGGTTTGTTTTGTTTTTGTTTTTGTTTTTGTTTTTTTAAATCGGGGAAAAAATTGGGAAACCGATTTAAATCGGGTTTTTATCAGGCCTGGCTTAAGAGCTTAAGTTTTAATGCTTTTTTTCTCAACATCTTTTGACCACAGTGGGGAACATTCCCTATGAGATAACAGAAGAGAAACTGAAGGATATCTTCTCCGAGGTCGGCCCTGTGATCAGCTTCCGTCTCGTCTTCGATCGGGACACTGGCAAACCCAAGGGATATGGGTTCTGCGAGTACCAGGACCAAGAGACGGCGCTCTCAGCTATGCGAAACCTGAACGGCTATGAGCTGAGTGGGAGGAGTCTCAGGGTTGATAATGCTACCAGTGAGAAGAACAGGGAGGAGCTTAAAAGTGAGTTTTGCTGAATCACTTTTAGAAAGAACATTTTTATCACCACTGTCCTTTGATTACATGCTTTAGTGAGTTAGTACATTTATTTCTGATCTAGGGGAAAATGCCAGCAAAACACAATGTTTCATTTCAAATAATTGAGGCCCAAAATTGAAAATGATACAATTAATTAAAAAGAGTTACACAGATTAAACAGGATGTATTTCGATTCACAAGAGCATCAGCTTTTACATGTATACTTTAACACAAAGTTACTGCCCTTGTGACTGTAAACCTCCAAACAGACGATACGTTTATAGTCTAGATACTTGTCTTTTGATGTCTGTTTCACAGCTGCTTTAATTCAATTTGATTTGAATTATTTTTTGTATACATTTTTGAAGGATTATTTCTGTGATTGTCAAAGATTTATATTATTTTCCTCAGACGTATTTAAAACATATTTAGTCATGGAAATACATGTACTACCTAGTACCTACTGTACATGTTGTCCAGATTTTGTCATATGCCGTTGTTTGAGCTCTCTGTACAATGTAGGTGTTGAAAAATAGGTGTTAGTAGACTCGCTACAATAATGCATACCGTAGTATTTATCATTGAAAGAAAAAAGAAAATTTATTTTACTTCGACCATGTTTCCTCTTTCCATTCTATTTTAGCTGCATTACAGCAGAGTCAGCCACCTCCTGAAGTAAGTACACATTCTGTGATCGGTTTTCATCACCTTATTTATTTATTAAGGTTCAAAGATTTTATTGATTTTTTCTTAGTCCTGCTCACTCAATAAATAATAAATGAGGATTCCTATTTTATGATCAATTGTTCAGAATAGTTTAAAGATTTAATCTCTTCGGATTGATTTATTACCCGAGTGAGGTAATATGAAATGGATGCAAGTAAAGTCTCATTTATGAGGGCTACAGAGTGTGTTCAGAGACCTTGCATTGTATGCAATATATGATTGCCAGAAAGCTTGTTGAAGGTAGCTCTTTCAGTGAAATTCAATGGCACGTGTGGACTGAATCTGACTTATTAACTCTTGCAGTACCAGAGGTGCAAATATGCACAAAGTAATACACACAATGTCCATAGACCTCCAATCTCTTTGGCACCGTAAGAGTTAAACATTGTCCTTGTCCTATCTGGGATCTTGCTAGCTAGGGCAGTCGTACATTAGCAGGAGTAATTCATACACTTACATATATTGTGTAATCATGGTGCTGTCGTCCCAGCTTTTATTTTGTGTAAGGACATTGCTTCACTTTATGGCTGCTGGGACAACAGCACCACAGCGCCTAGAAACAATGTATTAGACGCGTTATAAATGTGATCTACCGGTTATTATTATTATTATTACAGAACCACAAAATAATTGACTATTTATTACCTAGAAACACTTCTTAGCTGGAAAAACTCCCATGGTTTTACATGTCATTTTAATTCGCTAAGTTGCTCTTAGGTACCCTCTTTTACGGGTGGCTCGAGTTAGGGACGGACACAGTTTTTATTTTATATTGCTGCTGAGAACTTGTGTTTACCCGAATTTGTAATTGCCTGTCTTTCAACTGGACAGTCCCCCTACGGTGATTCTGTAGCACCCCAGGAAGCCCCAGAAGCCATCTCAAGAGCGGTGGCCAGCCTGCCTCCTGAACAGATGTACGAGGTCATGAAACAAATGAAGGTAACCAAACAAGAAAGCTACATAGTTTGTAAAGGGTTTTTAGTTGTATCTAGTGATCTTTGATGTTTCAACGATTCTTGAATTTCTCATACATGTATTTTATTTTGATACTTTGTTAAAATTTTCCTGGGGAAAGGCATCCTGTTGAGTTAACAAAAGAGTACTACTGTAAAAACCATATATTTTTGCAAAATGAGACTTCTTAAAAAGAGGCCTCTTTCAAGGCAACCATCTAAATTTCGCAAATTACAACAATTTAGTTTCATGTAAAACCTTGATTTAATCATATTAATAATAGTTATAAGATATTTCCATACCGCAAATTGCATAATGCCTATAAGTGGTTTAGACAGAAAATAGTTGATGAGTAAAGAAACAGAATTTGCATTTCAAATTACATCAAATTAATTAACATTAAAAGCTTTGCAAATGAAAATAGTACATTTAGTTAGTTAGTATCGTGACAGGAAAGAGTAATGAATCAGATCCACTTGTGAAATTCGCAAGTGTTTCATGCTCACTAAAGTCTGCTGTTTCATAGTAAATGACAAGATTAATTGTGCACATAGGCTTGATTAAAAGTCAGCTGTTTTACAGTAAATGACAAGATAGATTGTGCATGGCAACATCGTACAAAGGGTTGATTGCTTGCTGTTTTAATTTGGTAATATAGTATAATAAAACCTACCTGTGATGAATAACAGTCACATTATTATTATTTGTGTCTTCTTTGCATTGTAGATTGTGATTCAGAACAACCCTGTGGAAGCCCGTAACATGTTACTGCAGAATCCTCAACTGGCTTATGCCTTGCTTCAGGCTCAGGTCGTCATGCGCATTGTTGACCCTAACGTTGCCATGGTGAGAGAAAGTTCTGTGACATTCAATTGTTTTCATAGTTCAACACACGATAATTGACTCTAGAATCACAAGATAGTGATGATGATGATGATGTAACTGATTGTGTTAATGATGATGATAACTGTTGATGATGAATATAATTCATTTTGGTGTATATTTAATTATTGAATGACATGTTGTATTTTTGCACTGTGGGGAAAACCCTGGATTCAGTTTCTGCTGTGACTATCGGCTCACAGTGCATAGCAGGTTCCCAACTGCTTGAACGTGGGTTGGAAAAGGTACAATGTAGATACAACAGTGCCATGTCTAGTGATATTGATGGCAAATATTAAAAAGGCATTGTAATTTTGAATTTTAGTTGATTTCAAAGAATTGGTTTTAATTAGGAGGATTATTGTGTTCATGTTGGAAGGAGCCTTTGTGTCTAGTAATTTGTTTCAATTTTATAGCATCTTTTATTATCAGTGTTGTAGAAATTGACAGGTTTAGTGACCCTGTCAATTGAGAGATCAATGTTGATCACCAATCACCGATATTTTTTTTTGTCGTTTGTTTCAGACTCTGCTTCACAGGCAGACAGATGCACCACAACCTCTGATTCCCCCTGAAATGAATCAAGGTCCTGGTCCTCACCCTGGGCAGCACCAAGGCCCAGGACCCCAGGGAAACCAAGGCATGGGTATGGGTGGACCAAGACCGGATCATCAGATGGGCCCGGGTGGTATGAACCAGAGGGGTATGAATCCTAACATGGGTCCAGGAATGAACCAGGGCTCCATGGGACCAAGAGGGATGGGTCCACAGGGCATGGGACACCAGGACATGGGTAGGGGCGGTATGGGCCCTCAGGATAGGAACATGCAGGGAGGTATGCAGAGGGGTGGAATGGGGCCTGGAGATATGAACAGGGGCGGTATGGGCCAAGGAGATATGAACAGGGGCGGTATGGGCCAAGGAGATATGAACAGGGGTGGAATGGGCCCAGGGGATAATATGAACAGGGGTGGTATGGGACCCGGGGATAATATGAGCAGGGGCGGTATGGGCCAGGGAGAAACAAACAGGGGTGGCATGGGACCAGGGGAAATGAACAGGGGTGGTATGGGCCAGGGAGAAGCAAACAGGGGTGGTATGGGCCCAGGAGAAGGTAATCGGGGCAATATGGGCCAAAGCGATATGAATCGTGGCGGTATGGGCCCGGGGGACATGGGCCGTGGGGGAATGGGGCCCGGAGATATGAACCGTAGTGGCATGGGCCCAGGGGATATGAGCAGGGGTGGTATGGGCCCAGGGGATATGGGCAGGGGCGGCATGGGGCCAGGTGATATGAATCGGGGTGGTATGGGGCCAGGTGATATGAATCGGGGCGGTATGGGCCAGCAAGATACAGGCATGGGAGGTATGGGTCAAGGTCGAGGGCCAGGGATGGGTATGAATGAGATGGGTCGAGGGGGAGGTCCAGACATGAACAGGGGTATGGGTTCCGGACAGCAGGGTCCACAGGGCAGGGTACATGGAGGTATGGACCAGGGCCGAATGAACATGGGTCAAGGAGGAGGAGGACCAGCTGGACCAGGAGGACCTGGAATGAGCCCAAACATGATGAATCAAGGTAAGCTACAGATGCGCTATTGCTTCTCTATTCTCATGGAATCTGTACATCATATACCTAGCAATGGTGGAGAGGATTTATGAGGTTCCAAACAATTCTGCTATTTATCCTATTAAATGAACACTTTTCTTTCTCAAAAAGAAAAGAAACACGAATATTTTGTTGTCGTAGAGATAGATTTGAAGTAGTGGGGGGCTCCTTCGCTATCATCTAAGTTTTAAAATTCCTTGAAATGTCTTAGTCCATTTAATCTGGACCACTTTTTCATCTTCCAAATAGTTCCACCAGGGGTGGTATTCAGAAAGCTCACCTAGCACTCAATTAGCAAATTGGTGTTCTGGTAGTTCACTTAAGTGCCCTTTTCCAGTTGGCTGGAGGTGCATTGCATGTATGCTTTCATACATGCATATGGTGTGCACGCAGTAGCTAGATAAGGAGTTTAATAATTTTGGTATTCTGAAAACTCTATTATTTGCCAGTTAATTTTTACAATACGAAAGACCTTATAGGTCTCCAAGGCCCTCAGGTACCATTTGGTTCCCGAAGACAAAGTATTAAAAGAGACCTATCTCTTTATTTTGTTTTTCAGACATGCAGATGAACCGTGGCGGTATGGGAGCCGGCCCAAGAGGTGGACCTCCGGACAGCATGGTCCATGATCCCCGCAGACAGGACCCCAGAGGACCAGGGGCAGCAGGTGGGCCAGGAGGAGGAGGGGTAGGAGGGGGCTTTGAGAGGGGTGAACCTCATGGTATGGGGGGCATGAGGCCCAGTGGAATGGGTGCCGGTGACCCACGCATGACTGACCCAAGAGCAGCGGAAAGGTCACCCATCACAGCATCAACCGTAAGTTGAACCTGCCAGATCAGAGTTGTACAGTCAAACCTGTCTATAGTGACTGCCCAAGGGAAACACAAAAGTGGTCTTTGTAGACAGGTTCCTTTAGTACATGATTCAATGAGAAATCATTTTCAAATGAAACAAAAAAATGTGGTCTTTGTAGACAGGTGGTTACTAAAGCAGGTTTGACTGTATCTGTGTTGAATGTTCTGATGCACATTGATAAATATTCCTGTTACTCTGTACGCACAAACCTCACAGATAAAAGACGGTGAAATCAAATAAAATAAGAGGTGGCATTGGTGCAAAATAAGATGCCAGTTGGCACCTCTTAAAAGAACATTGGGGATTAACGAAAACTCCCTAATCGTGTTTTGTGTCATCATCACTTCATCACTGCCATCACTGATCTCAATCATCAATACATTGGTCGTAAAAATGGATTCACACTTCGTAATTTATTTCTCCTCTTACTGAGCTTGATGATTAGGTTACATTAATCTTTTCCCTCCCAATATGATATTTTCCATTGCTATTACATAGCCTCAATGTCATAGCTGAGTAATCTACAGTAATGTTTATTAATTCTCATGTACATGTACTGCTTTCCTTTTCCAGAATCTTTCGCAGCTTGCCCAGAATATCAACCTGTCACAGACTCAGCCTACACAACAAGATCAAGAAAAGGTACAAGTTTTACAGCATTTCAGAATATCCAAAGAATGTTAGATAGAGTTTTTTTTTTTTAGAGGGGGGGGGGGGTATTTTGAATAATAACTTTCTAAATTTGCGAGTAAGCAAGACAAATTCCGACACTTGGTTGTAGTGAAAAGGTAATTTTCAACTAATTATATCTGGTTAGGAAGATTAAAGTAAACGACACCCAGTAAACCATCTCACTGCCTGCATTCTAGGTGGTGGTTGCCCAAATACCGGTAATTTAAAAATTTCAGGGGCTCCCCCCTCACCCACCCCTCCATCTTGTATGCATGCCTCTGTAGTACCCAATGCAAAAATATGCTGAATGAAAATGAAGCCAGGCATATTTGTTGGTCTATTTATATTTACATGGAATGTAAGCAAGAGATACATCGCAATATTTTCTAGATGCATTTACATGTAGATAGCATTTCAAACTGTATAATGCTGTGAATTCAGATTTTTCATAAGCCTGAAGCAGGGTTTTTTTATTGCTAAAGATAGCCATTTTTGAGGCAATGAATTGCAAAAGAATTCAATGTCCGCCGAAAATTGTCAGCGCTGACTAAATTTGACCAATCAGAGGCCTGGAAAATAGTCGATGACAATAAGATTGTCGGTGAAAATAATATTAGTCGGTGAAAATAATATTAAGCTATGGTCACAAATCAGAGCAGCGACCGATCGATCAGTAGCCTGCTCGGTCGCTGCTCTAATTAGGCATCGCCCAGCGATTAGGTCGGTGCCCGGCCGGCGACCGCCCAGGCACCGAGCGTATTTTGGGCGGCGAGTGAAAAGTGAGCAGGCGCCGCCCAAATTTTAACTCCGCGCTAAAACTTCAGCGGCGACCGAGCGATGCCCTAAAAACGAGCGGTGCCTGGGCGGCCGCCGCTCGGTGGCCGGGCAGCCGCCGGGCAGAATTGGTTAAAAACTCGCCGCTCGGCCGCCGAGCAGTCTACTTTTGGGTAATGTGACCATAGCATTAGTCGGTGAAACGCCCCCCTTGGACCACTGACGAAATATGCATAAGTTTCTAGTTTTTAAGTGTACTAACATCTTTCTTGTGTGTTTACTTGCAGGCTGCTCTGATCATGCAAGTGTTACAGCTGTCGCCTGAGCAGATCAACCTCCTTCCCGCCGAGCAGAGAGCTAGCATCATGGTTCTCAAGGAGCAGATCTCTCGCAGTCAGGGAGGGGCGCCATCTTAGATCAAACCATCCCTGCTTTACTCACTCAATGTCTGAAGTTGTTTTCATTATTAGGAGTAATAAATAAATAATAATGGGCATTTTAGTAGCGCCGTCTTTCTTGACAATTCTATTCCAAGGCGCACATGAAAAATAGAAAGAGTAAGAGGGTTGGGATGAGTATTAAGGTATTGTTATGATTTTATGCAGCTTTTGGAGGGTGGGGAATGTTATTGATGTAACACTGTTCAAACACAGAAAAAATGTGTACCAACTTGTACGGTACACTTTGTATTGAATGAAGGTTGGGAATTACCTACGCCCACTTTGTTTTAGGTATATCATACATTTTTGACACATACAATATGTTTCTTTTTTATAGGAAAACATTTCATATGGGTACACTTTTTGTTTAATTTGTTGCTTTTCAGTAGTTGAGTAATTATAAACATGAAGAAGAAAAAAAATATTGCACGTTGTGTGTCAGCAGATAGATTCATAAGTTTGAATTTGAATTCACCTCGAGCAGTCTTGTATGTTTATGTTGCAAATATTTTGATGTGGGAAGTCAAAATTTCTGTAATACGTTTTTTGTATTTTTTGCTTGTTTCAGCATACATGTATGCATTGCTTTAAAAATAAAGTTGAGTTCTGGTCATGTGATTGCATTGTGGAAGGAACGGTGTGGAATCTATCAGAAAAGGTTGATCATCTAGTATATAAGTATTCATGTGTATTGCAAGGTTCTGGAATCATCAAAATGATAAGAAATGTGGCCAAATCTGGGCAAAGTTACAAGCACTGTACAAAGAATGATGTATATGGGACTACACAAGCATGTGACGAAAAAAACCTACCCCCCCCCCCCCCCCCCCCCCGATTTTTACGATGTTCATGTCATATTTATATTTAGAATATGAAGGCATTTGAAGAGCCATGCTTTTCAGGGAACATGATTAATCTGATGTTCTTCCACCCTTGCATAATAACGATGATAACGCTCACAAATTATCTTTTTACCTCTTCCCAGAACTCGACCTTCTCTTTAAGGTAGTGTTTGTAAAGAAAGAAGGATCATCCCCAAACTGGCAGTACCATTTTTGCTTCATTCGTAATACACTGTAGTACATCTTGATTTGCTTTTACAGAGTTACCATTGCACTACTACTGAAAATATGATAAAATTACAGATTAATGAATTTGTTAACAATGTCCCAATTTAACAAGGCATTGCAAGTCAAAAGACAACTCTCAAAATTGCATCTACAAGTTTGTTTGAAAAAAACGTAGCAGAGAAAACAATTACATTCTAAATACTGATTAAGATGTGTAGGCCTATTGTGATCAGCGGAGTTAAACCATGTCACTTTCTATGATGAATTTGTCAACTTCTGTTCTTGTCATTCCATACTCTGATTGTTAATCTTGAATAAAGGCATCATATTTTTCTCCTTTAAATTCAACAGCCTTCTGTGTCTATCATTTCAAGAACATATGTGCAGGTGTCCACTTCACTTGACCATTTAAAAAATTACATGTACAGGTATGTGAACACAAGGTCTTTACCCTTATATATAACTTGAATTGAGGCGAAGAGATGTTGCTTTTGTATCCCGTGTTCAAACTTTGTTATTGTTTTTGCTGGTTGTGACGGTGGCGTCTTCATCACCATCATAGTCATCTTTCCAGTCATTATCATCATTATCATCATCATTACCTGTACAGTCTCCATTATCACCAGTGTTGTGACAATCTTCAGCATTTTCAACACCACTCCACCAACATCATTACTATCATCATAGCATGTTGATGCATTCTCCAGACTTTCATGTGCCTCTTGACAAACTCGCAATATTCCCCTTGTCCAGCATTAAAGATACTATGTCCCTTTTGCCAACATCAAATTCTGTAGAACTTTGCAGGAATTATGAATATGTCATGTATTTCCTATCTGGAAAATTTAAACATTAGCAGTGTTCCAGTATTCAAATTATGCAAGGAAACCCGTTTACTTTCTAGATTCCACTGTTAGACACTATCGAGTGACTAACTGACTGACATCTTTTTTTCTTTGGTACTTGTAATAACATACATAAAATGAGCATGAGCATTTGTCTACGTCAATAACCCACTACTTGAAATGGCCCAAATTCAACTGATTTAATCTTTGTGCAGCACAAAATCAAGGTGACTGCAATAACTCAAGTCAATTTGATAACTAATTGTCTTTCAAATGCTGTTGGAATTCAACCTTTTCATTTTTTGGGCCTGCAAATGGGACATAGTACCTTTAAAGGGAGAATGTTGTCAAGAAGCATTTGGGGAAAGATTTATTTGTAACTTTGAAAATTATATGAGAATATTGAGAGAGAGAGAGACAGAGAGGGGGATAGAGAGAGGGTTTTGGATAAATGGGGAAAGAGACCCTGGAGAAAGAGACCCTGAAGGGTCAGGTTCAAAGTGCTGATTTACTCTATAGAGAAGGTTCAAAGAAATGCAAATATATGTATGATGGGATTGAAATGCATTAGAGATGTTTGCAATAAATTTATTTCAGATGCTTGTATTTACACAAGTTTAAAGATTATCTGATTACAATAAAAACTTTTGTTTGCCATTAAATCTCTTAATTGCAATACAATGTATATTGCCTTTAATAGTGTGCTTCCTGGCACCATTGAGACAAAATTTTAAGTGAAGAGTTCTTTAACAAATGTTTACTCCCCCCCCCCCCCCCCCCCCCCCTCCCTCTTTTATGCCAGCAGTAGTTGTACATGTACAGTGATACAGAACTTGTATTGCAAATGTTTAATAGTTGGTTTGTTAGAACAGAAGCTTAGAATAGCCACATGTGTATACATGTACATGTATTTTATATCACCTCTGTATCCAGCTTGATCGACTAGGTGGTGGTTTTGACCCATAATTTTAATGTTGTCTCTCGGCTCGCTTGTCTACTTCCTCTGTAGTTTTCCACTAGGTTTTGACAAATAAAATCTTGAAAAATAAGCCCTTGATGAGGTTCTTCAGTCTCTGTACAGAATAATCCTTAGCTTCTACTTCATCCCTAGTGAGCCCAACTAACTCTGTGCACTCCACATGAAACCATCGTGGGCAGCCTTTCTATACATCCTTTCTATACATCCTGAATAATTTCATGACAGTAGCCCCAGATTGCCAAATGCTCATGACGGTCTTGTCTGACCCTTGGAACGTCGCCTGTAAATGTGTGCTCTTCTGCAGTTCTTGCAAGACGCCTGTACTATGTGGCCATTTAAAATGGAAGCTTTTCTAAATGCAACAACATAGATCTCCAGCTAACGATCACTTGTTCATTTTTGCCTCTATAGAAATCTAATATCTATACTGACAGGTGCTTACTCCTCCCAACTGAACCTTGATAAACGAAGTCCAAATGTAAAGATGTTCTCTTCTGCAGTTCTTCTAAGACTCCTTCACGAGCATCTTGAAAAGGATGCTCGTGATATGTAGGTCTCTGTATACTCATTGGCCACTAGCATAAAACTGAACTCATTTTTACCAGAGTACAACAGAACTCTTTTATCATCGGTGGATGTTTACTCGACTGAATCTTGGGGCCTGTTGTCCAAGTTGAGGTGTTCTCTTCTGCAGTTTCTGAAAGACTCCTTTAAGGACATCCTATGGGTCTCCATTCAATTTTTAGACACTTTCATTTAACCCAACTCATTTCCGCCAGAGTAGACCCCTGATTTTCATGACTGGCGGATGTTTACTAGTCCTGGCTGGACCTACGGGAAGGGAGTCCAACTGAAGGTGGTCCAGGACCAGTTTGACTAGTCTGTCCAGCTGGTCCTGTGATGGTTTCTCATGCCATGTCTTGAGGAAGAAGCTCCTGAGGCTGTCTGGGAGGTTCTCAAGGACACGCTGGAAGGACTCAAATGGTCGGTTCTGCTCCACGATGTTGAGAAACCAGTGGGAGTAGGCTTGCCATCTCATGGGTTCCTGATGTCATAAATCAACAAAACACGCAGTCAAAAAATGCTTCAATCATCTCAGTTTCGACATATTGTCACTGTTTTGGTTAAATTTTGGTTGTTCCAATGCTAAAAAAGGAATAGAAGTCCTTTTCATCTGAAATCAGATCAAAATTTTGTTGACTTAAAGGTAATACAAAGTTTTGGTATGGGGTCATGAATTTGGGTCAAATGAACATATTGGAAGCATATGCGATCCTACAATATTCAGTGATCGTTGTCGCGGTTGAAATTGAGTCTTAAGTTATGGAATTGTAAATAATAAACTCTTTATGTTGTATAGCTCCCTCTCAAGGTCAAGATATTAGTTAAGCCATAAAACAATGTTTCTTGAATAAAATCGACCGATTGGCTATTTCCGTTTGGAAATTAAATATCACAACTACATATTCTGAGATTTTCATGGTCCCAGCTACAACTGTATCATGTAAGCGCTATTTGAAATTTATCAAAATTTATTGGGAGCACCGGTAAATTTTTATATTAAATTTTAATCGAAAGCAGAAGTGTTTTAGGGGCTAAATTTTCTAGTGCTTATAATACATCCACAGAGGCTTCCAAATATATCAAAATTGTAAAGAATCACTATCCAACCAATTTTCAAAATTTCCTAAAAGTTTGTATTACCTTTAAAGGGAAAGTCCACCCCCAAAATAAGTTTGTTTCGATAGAGGCAGAATAATAAGAAAATCAGGTGAGTGAAAGTTTGAGCAAATTCTGAATGAAAATAAAAAAAGTTATGAATTATTGAAGTTGTAATCAATCAAATACAAATTGGCAACTCTGTGATTTATCATACGAGCTCTCCTTCATTTGCTTTGTGCATAATATTCCATAAAATCATGTTTTCTTCGTTATTGATGACGGAATATATATTTGTTCCTTGCAGGGGGGAGTATAGAAACATATTTGCAATTATTATATTTAGGGTGCATGTATGGTTGAAATTTTTCTTGAGGGAAAATGAAAATTTTAGATTTTTTTAGTACTGAACAAATGGAAGTTGAGCTCGCATGATACGTCATAGAGTTGCCAATTTGTGTTTGATTGATCACAACTTCAAAATCCTAACTTCCTTATTTTTAATCGGAATTTGTTCAAACTTTCACTGACTTGTTTCTCTCATTTTTCTACTCCTATTAAAACTAACTTAATTTCAGGGTGGACTTTCCCTTTAAGAAGAAAATAAATGACTTGAGAGATTCCCATAGACTTTACACAGGACCCACTTGGGTTGACAGAGTGAACCTTATTGAATCATATGTAATATTATAATTCAATCTTAGAACCTTGCACGTTTCAGGTTTCAGTTTCAGTTTAATTAAAATCTAAAACATCTCACGTTTTAAGCTCTTAAATTCTCAAAATGAATAAACAGTTTGAGTCAAGTCATGAAATGAAAATGAGAAATTAATGTCATGACACAACTTTTGTTTATGAATTTTCTTTTTTATTAACTCATATCTTGCCATGAGACTGCTAGCGCGCTATTGTTATAGTGCCGTGTGCACGCGAGCGCGCTATCGATTGATTGCTACCAGGGCTCAAATTAATTTTTTGTCCACGGGGGCTCTTCCCCCCAACGGGGGCTCTTTTTTATACAAATTTCCATTGAATTGGTACCTACAGCTGTATGATACTCCTCAATTATTTGCTATTTCATCATTATC